CACTGCAATATCGATCACAAGGTCAAATCCACTTAGAAACCATGTAAAGAATGTAATGCATACTAAACAATATCTGTCATATCTGAATGAATGAAAATGAAGCTAGCTCACATCCACTAGTGCAATAAACTAACATTCCACACTTTTGACATGCGTCCTGCAAATGAAGCTTACCAATCTCATCGATGAAGATTATACAAGGCTGAATTTTGACAGCTAACGAGAAGACTGCCGCAGTCAGCTTTTGTGACTCGCCGTACCACATGTCAGTCAGCGTGGAGGCCTGAAGGTTGATAAACCTGCATCCCGACGCTCTGGCAGTTGCCTTGGCAATCATAGTCTTACCGCAGCCCGGAGGACCAAATAATAAAACACCTGAGAGGACGAAAAGTAAAGAATTAAAATACAGTGATTCATCACATCTTGTAATAGCTGAACAAAAACAAAACTTTTACTCTCACTTCTGCAGTTTATAGACTTTGTAATTTTAACCTGACTCGTTTTAACCTTCACTGGCAACTGCACTGACATTTGCAACACGTGTATCAAATCTGGCTCGATCTCGTCCCAGAAGCATTTTTTTCCTTTTGGTTTGTTTTAAATGATGTGATACAAACAAAGCCTGAAGTCTAGAGACTGAACTCGATTCCCAAAGCAGCTAATTTTGGAGGTTGACTCATCCTGAAGCTATGTGTAAAGACTATCCACAGAAAGCAAAACATTCCTCTTAGTGATCCTTCACTGTCACGCTGCCAAGTGGATAAATCCTGCTTTTTTTGGCAGATATAAACCGCAGTGTTATTCACTGAGTAGATATTTTGACAGTGATTAGGCAAAAATACAAACTTAGAAAATTATAACCACAGTTTTAGAAGGTAATTTCATGTTAGCTAGTTTTTGATGCAAATCCACATTAATGTTCATGATGGGAAAAGGACATTTAAAATCTAACAGTAACTTTGTTCTCATTCTTACAGAGCTACAGATTCTGATTTTTCACGATGAACTTAAGGGTAATTTGAAGGTTTTTAAACTTGAGTTCATGATCCTGAACATGCACAAATCTTCACTGGGCAACTGACTAATCTCAACTTAACACACAGCTCACTAGAAACAAAGTAAAATACACAAAGAACAAGGTTATAGAAAGCTATACTGCATTTACAGTAAGATTTCTGAATGACAAGAAAAACCAAATCCCATTCACACAATGGCTCAGTCACACCACAGTAGAACTGGGATGGCAACCTCCTTGCAACCAAGAAAGCTTGGTGTTTGCTTAATGACTACAGTGATTTTTTTAGCATTTGGGGACCAATTGCAAGTACTTACAGTGACTGCTCTTGATTGCAAGGGTTTGCTCAGGTCGCTTGGTGGCCGATTTCCAAATAATCGCAGTCTGACTGCAATCACTCTCCGAAAGATTGGCAGAAATGTGCAAATAACTGTGTTCTCATTTAGGCTATAAAACTAGATAGAGTGCCAATACTTTGAAACCAGGCTGCGCCAGATGAACTCAACTTGTCTGAGATGTGTCTCTCTGCATTAGGGGGTTTTGACTCAACTGCTTGCCAAATTGTCATTTTCTTCAACTCACACAGCAAAACTGAAAACTCAGAGTAATAATCCATTATACTTTGGAAAATATCAATCCT